AGCTTAGTAAAAGCTGTCAAGTGACACCGAATTGTGTAATCATGTATGTCTGCATCAGGTGACCCAGCTCCATGATATGTTGGAGGAGAAAGGCCACAGCTGCTGGATGGACATTAAGGAGATGGGCGGGGGAGACCAACTGTACGCCGCGATAGACAAGGGCATGAGACAGGCCAAGGTTGGACTTTCAATGTCTTTAGAAGCATGGGAATAAGTAAAAATTACTATCCTCCTAATCCCTTTTTTCCAATGGAGGTAGACTTCAGCGACAGAAATTGGATTTGTTGACCTTTGACGGGTACTTTGAATATGACCCATGATGTAAAAGTATGATTTGAAATCACTTCCGGGGAGGTACATATTTTGTCTGACAGACTGCTGAAGTCTTTATCCACGTGTCCTCCTCAGGTCGTCATCAGCTGCGTCACTCCCAAGTACACAGAGTCTGCCAACTGTAGGAACGAAGTCGCGCTTGCGCACAGCCTGAAGAAAACTATCGTGCCCGTCCTGCTGGAGAAAACGGCCTGGCCGCCAGAGGGCCCCATGGCCATGCCGTTCGCACAACTCTTGTACATCGACTTTACAAAAGAACCCAAGAGGAATCCCTGGCAGGGGCCTCACCTTGACGAACTCATGACAAGCGTTGAGCAGAGCTTGAAGGAGTAGCTTTGGTATTGAAAGGAACTTATTGTCACAAACATATGGTTAGCGATGTCCAGTTAGTAAAAAAAAACGAAAACCATCGCACCATTATTATATTGTGCCGTAAATGTCGCAGTGCAGTCCTGACGTGCCTTAGACTTGATGTGTCTAGCTCTTTGTTAAAGATGTACTGGGTATGACCTTGGATATCTTAGTCGTTTTTGTATGCTTAGTGACGAGGCGGGAAACCCTGTGCCACCAGTTCGGCAAGACCCTGTCCAAGTCTGACACTTACAGACAATGGTTACCTCAACAAAGGGGCAAAGTCAGCGGGAGGGTTACCAGACAATGTCACAAATACGACCCATTGCCAGCACGTACTATACGCTACCAAAATAGCCCTCTACCGTATATTGTTAACCTGTTAAACGATGGCATTTAGTTTAGATAATTGTGGCATTTAGATTATTAATTGGTGTCTTTGATAATTACTTTGTATTTTTTAAATATGTAATTTTACCTTTTTATATATGCATTGCGTCTTTTAAATATGTATTCCATCTTTTAGATTTGTATTGTCACCTGTTCGCAGTTTGTAAACTTTTAGAGCGATTGTTTATGTCAACCTGTGAAATTTGTATATGTACATGAACTCGCAATTCAGCTCATAAGCTGCGATGAGTTTGTATTCGCACAATAAACCATTCTATACTATAACTATACTAGAAGGACTAAAAGGTGTCAGTGTGTTAGAGAGGAAGAAATCGCAAAAATATAAGGATGTGGGTGATAGCTGTTTCTAAAAGTTTCAGAAAACTATCGATTTTAGGTAAACGTTAGTTACATTGATAATGGGCAGGCGTATTTTATGTTGTGGTGGTAAGAATGGAACTTATAAGCCCCAACACCAAACGTTACAAAAGCAATCGAATAACGATATACAGATATATAGAGAGACTAGATACCTTATTTGATATTCACTGTCAATCTTTTTACTACTGCTTGTTTGCTTGGAATAGCATTTGGATATTGATTTGGATTAAAGATTTAATAGACTAGATACTTAAGCTTTGTTGGCTTGTTACAAGTTTATTTTGTATATGGCTTCCATGTTATGAAGTTGCCCGGCCAGCCCATAGTCCAGGCACGCTGTGTATTTGAGTTGCGTAATGTTATTATTGGCAACATAGAAGTTTTCGTTTCTAGAACCACAAAGTTAAGATTGTCTGCGGCTAAAATGATTGAAAAGGGTTGCGTCAATGACTCGACAAAACGGGCCCTCGTTACCAAGGCCGTTTGCGGTCTCGGTGTTTTTCCCGTGTGTGGGGTGCACATCGCACGGTTGGCGCTGGGAGGGCAGGTCTGTACCTAACAATCACAGGCATGTGGCGTCAAGGCGTGCAGCAGGTGCCTGGGTCTTTCTTACCGTGGCCGACAAGAACAAAATTTTACACCGCAACTTTTGGTGTTTTACACCGCAACTTTTGGTGTTTTACACTGCAACTTTTGGTGTTTTACAGTGCAACTTTGGGTGTTTTACACTGCAACTTTTGCTGTGTTTTACACTGCAACTTTTGCTGTGTTTTACACTGCAACTTTGGGTGTTTTACACTGCAACTTTTGCTGTGTTTTACACTGCAACTTTTGCTGTGTTTTACACTGCAACTTTTGCTGTGTGGAAAACTTACACCCCTCCCCTTTTATAATGGACGGTCCCCCTGTCAGGTCAAAGGTGACAACGATGGCATGCAAACTACGTCGACTGAGTTATCCTTTTCGTGCATAAGGTTTTTAGAGGAAAAGCTTGGCTACGTTGTGACGTTAGTTTTTTTCTAAAGGTTTTTCTAGCTTTGGCCTATAGACCGGGATAAATTTAAAAATGTTTCGACCAGGTCCAGTGATTACAAATTATGTTGCTTTTTGCTGCCATGCGTCACAACAAATTTATCAAGGACGTCAGATATCCAGCTCCAGACATCAACAGCAATGACATAAATTTTCTGCAGGTTAGTTCATTATTATTGGGTATGGACATCGTTTTTCTTCATTTTAATGTCCCTAGACGTCAGCTTGTGACTTGCCGCCGCCATCTTTGTCACCTTTGACCTGACAGGGGGACCGTCCATTATAAAAGGGGAGGGGTGTAAGTTTTCCACACAGCAAAAGTTGCAGTATAAAACACAGCAAAAGTTGCAGTGTAAAACACCAAAAGTTGCAGTGTAAAACACCAAAAGTTGCAGTGTAAAACACAGCAAAAGTTGCAGTGTAAAACACAGCAAAAGTTGCGGTGTAAAACACCAAAAGTTGCGGTGTAAAATTTTGTACTTGTCGGCCACGGTACTTTCTGATCTTTCCGGGCCACCGCGGCGTCCACGGACCTACGCATCAACGGGTCTTCAAAGTAGGGGGTGAGAGAGAGCAACGGGGCATCCAGTGTGTTCATAGATACGCCAGCTCATCTATCAGAAAACAGAACGGTTCACTCATCGCGGCAGGGATCGGCAGTTTGAGAGGTCGGCTTCAGGTTTGGTATGTAGAACACACTGGTGGACACACTGGTGGGCTCTCTGGATATTAAAGAGATACAGGTGGGTATCCATTTTGCCTTTTCTGAGTATGTACTTGTTGATCATAGGTAAACTTCATCTCACGCATCTAGAACAAAACCAAGTAATTTTCCTGCAAATGTGTCTGGTTGGCCACAGTAGATTACGTTTAACATTATTGTGAATGAGTGTTGCTGTGCTTTTAAGCATCGTTCAAGCAGGGTTCTCTCTCTCTCTCTCTATTATGTCGGAAACCCTCCGGTAACGTGGACTCGATACCTTGTTGCTGAAATTCATATCTGCATATTCACTTTACTTGTGGACAGTCTGTTGTCAAGGAAATATGTCTTATGTGGTTTTCCCTTTATATCAAATTTTTTTCTGAACATTTATCAAATATTGTTAATGGACGCTACGAATAACCAGTCTTCTGAATATGTCTATATGTCATTTGTGAATGCAGCTCGTTTTTTAATCAACCGCCGCTTATATAATTATTTCATTCACTAGCTCAATTAGGGAATTCATTTCTCATGTGACCCTTGGTACAGTGCCTAACTTACGAAACGTCTTGAGGCTCTTAATACCAAGGACGAAGGTCTTGAAGAAGGTGGTTATCGACTAAAACGTGTCTTAATTGTAGGTTCGTGGTACGAGGAGTGATAAAAACGTCCTTATCCCTCCACCTACAGGTCCGGTTTCCAGCATGGGTCCCGTTCTGTTGGCTGGCATCCTGTTCTTGGGTATGTACACATGGACCTTATCCTAGTCTCTGGAATGGCAATGGTAAACAATCTAGGTCCAAATTAGCGATATCGCTATATAGTAGCAATAGACATTGATATCTCTATACAAGTTTGGTCGAAAAACGTGTGAGTATTACTTGAACTATATAGAAAGGGAATCGAAGGGAAACATAATAAATCTGTTTTGAATGTCAAGTTGAGTCTGATATTCCCGAAACTAACGTTAGGCTGTAACGTGATTATACGAAGTTCATGACTTGGACAAGACGTGGTGTGTTCAGGTTACATAAATGAATCTTTTAGATCATGATCATCGGGAAGTCTCTTTCGTGGTTACACCAACGTTACAGGAAACCGTCCAGGTCATTCCAATTCTATACCACAGTGCGCGGGTCCATGGGCTATTCCTTCGAATGTTGCAATATAAGTGTTCCAAATGTGTGAATAGTCCTCGTTAACACAATTGTAAGCCGTCATTTATTGAACTTCTGTTTTCTACTGTATAAAGTCGGCTCCACGATGGGCCAAGACTGCGTGGACAACGACGGTCGCTGTCCAGGCTGGGCCTCAATTGGAGAATGTTTCAATAACCCGCAGTACATGCTGGTGAACTGTAGACAGAGCTGTGGTGCGTGCCCCACAGGTAATACCGTTAGAAAATACGCGCACGCACGCACGCACGCACGCACGCACGCACGCAAGAACGCACGCACGCACACACACACACAATCAACACACGGCGAGTAAAATCATCTTCATTTTGTGTACTCAGTATCTAATTAATGTAGATATATAGTAAACAAATATCATAATACACGTAATACGTACTGATTATGTTCAAAGGTGCCGAGAGGAAATAAGCTAGACTCAGTGGAGATGTTTGTTTGTCTGATTGATTCTTATTCGAAACGACTGCAGACCCTCCACCGCCGACGGATTACCCGGGAGTGCCCTGTGTAGATCAATCTGAGTACTGCGCAGAATGGGAACTAGAGGGACAATGCGACTCCCTCAAGTTCAACACGTACGCACGCTGTCGTGCCACGTGCGGGCTCTGCGGTCAGTACAGTTCTTCAAACTTCTCACTAATATGTTCTGTTATTTCTTTTCGTTTATGTCAATGAAACCTTATAAATGCTATATATTCACTACTCTTTAAAACCGATCTATAGTAATTTCTCTTTAAAGAGTTGCTTTGAGAAAGACTGTCTGGATGAGACTTCGAGCGAATTGCAAAGCCACGTCATTATAAGCTTTCACATGTGCAATAAGTTGTGTACTAAATACCGTTTTCCTTGTCCCCCAGACGGCTCTCGCGTGTGTGAAGACATGTCCCCCTTCTGCCCGCTGTGGGCCAGCTATGGACGGTGTATGAATGGTTGGAGTGGGGATACGTGGACGATGAACACCTGTCCAATGAGCTGTGGACTTTGTGGTAAGATTATAACATTATCAGTAGAAACAGTAGAATGACCTAACGCAGGGGCACTAGCAAAATTTCATTGGGAGCATGTTGGGCGCTGGGAACAGTTTGGGATTCGTCCGCAGAATCGTCTGCTCACTTCAGGTTGCTCTCACTATATGATGGATCGGGTATCAAAGCAGCCACTGTAAGCACATCATTGTACAATGTTAGGGTGATCTGGGGGAAAGAATGAACTGAATGACGAATTCTTTATTGCCGTGTCGAGCCAGAACAAAATTACCGACGTTTTTTTATCACAAGTATGATCCATCCCGAATGAGTCTGTATGTCATGTGTTCAGCGAGGGATTGCTGGAGCTCCCCGTGCCTAAATGGAGGGACCTGTAACGAACAGTACGCACCAGATACCTACTCTTGCCACTGTACGTCCGAATACACCGGGGAGAACTGCGAAACAAGTAAGGGCCTTTGCATGTGCTTTGACTGAGAATACGAAAGCTGTCGCTTTTCAAGCTAACGTGTTTTGTGTTGGCATTCAACAAAGTATTGCAGATACTATCTGTATAGTATCAAATATAGTAATGTAATGTTGTATCTTTTGTTCTGTTATTTTTTCTTTATCCACGTCAGATAACATTGTTGGCCTGAGCTGGGTCACGTTGAATACATTCGGAGACTGGAGACTTGGAATATTTTGTTGTATCTGACCTTGTAGTGGTGCACATTGGAAATGCTTAAAAACATTAATTGAATATTTGGCAACAAGTATTTAAGGTTAACAATACAAGTAACGGTACATATATTCCTATCTGTCAAAATATCTTATGGTTGAACACGTTGACTTACTGATTAAGATTATGCCCTCCGTTACATTTTGTCTTTCCAGATGTCGACGACTGCCAGAGTCCACCGTGGGGTTCCGACACGGCCTGCTTTAACGGCGGGACGTGTGTTGACGGGCTGGGGACCTACACCTGTCTGTGTCCGCCGGGGACATACGGGAGACTCTGCGGTAAGTCGGATCCACTCAAAAGATAATATTGTAGGCTTCTCTAGATCTATAGATATGACAATCTTCGGTTGTCTGTTAAGACAGGCTCAGTGTGTGACAACTTAAAACGTTTAGGTTATGATTTGCGTGCATCTGGTCTTCTGTGCGATTGTGAATCCATGTTCAAAGAGAACCCATCCTCATGCATTGCAGACAGTGACTGTGTTGTTGGTGACGGATCAAACTACCGGGGCGACATCAGGATCGCGGCCGATGGCTGGTGGTGCGGGTACTGGTTCAAAGGGAGAGAAGGCTACACCCCAGAAGCCTATCCCGATGCCGGGTTGGACAGGAACTACTGCAGAAACCCGGATGGGAACTACGAAGGGCCGTTCTGCATCACCAACCTCCCGAAAACAAAATCTGTGTGTCAGGTGGCGACTTGTGGTGAGACCATTTACTAGTAGTTCAATCTGTGAGATCTTCCGAAGACCACCAGGTTGAGCCCTTATCAATCCATTAAGACCCTACTAGCTTATTTACCGAATTTCTTAAATCACAGACCTGTAATAAGGGTTAGAACAGAACAGAACAGAATGTAACTCCTCGGTTCGCACATTTGACCAATATTGTTGCAATTTGCACAAGCTGGTGTAACATCATTTAGTTATGTCCTGTACTACCTGTGTCGGAGAGGATTTGTAAATATTGTTCCTCGAATGCAGTGGAAGACGAAAATCATTTCATTTCTAATTGTTCACTGTATAATGATATCAGAAACCAATTATTTACTGTCGTGTCCAAATTGCACCATTATCTTCCCACTATTGCTTATCCGGAGAAAACAATTTTACTACTAAAATCAAAGAACCCACATATTGTAAACGAAGTGGGTAAATTCCTCCCACTGCCTGAAATGAAGAAGTCAAACCCAACAAAATTAGTACCACGTATGTTGTAGGATGTAGTATTACGTAGACCCTCATATCATTGTACCTTCTTTTTCATACATGTTGTTTGCACTTGTGCAATTAGCCCTCGGGCATGTATTTGCACGAAACTACATGTATCTATATTAGCAGTGACATAGGAAAACCTTTCGCGTAACAATTTGCAGTGGTGTTGTCTTTTGGATGGCGGTAGAGTTTAAAGAAGTAGCATGAATCATCTCCAAAACAGTTTTAAAACAGTACGCTCCGGATTGTTTAGCGAAGATGAAAACAATGAATCATTTTTTCAGACTGCTACGTGGACGGTACCACTTCGTACCGTGGGCAGGTGAACGTAACAAGGACAAGTCAGCCCTGTATGGACTGGGCAGACGATATGGTCCAGCAAGTCTTGGGTTTTATGGAAGTCTCCGAAGCTCAGAGAGCCGCCGCCGGACTGGATGGCAACTACTGCCGAGACCCAACCGGGTCCGGCACGCTGGAGTGTTTCGTAGACGTTGGCTATGGAGTGGACACGGAAGCCTGCAGAATCGACGAATGTCGTGAGTAGAGCTCATACTTCCTCTAACAGAAGTAGCTTTTACATGTCTATGATAGCTGAGGTGTGTCTGTTAGATTTAATACTACCCGACGTCACTTTTATTTCTCCTTTCAACTTTGAAGGATGTACGTAAAATGAATTTGTTCAACATGGGTCTTTATCATAGATGGGTTGATGACTATTCGTGATACAGAAAGAGTCTCGGCTACAAGGAAACACACAATGCTAACCTCGAAAAAGACGTCACAAGGTCACGCCCATAGAATGCAGGATTATGTTTGAAAGACGTTGAAACTGGAGCAGATAGAGTAATGGGGGAATATATCATTTTCATATCATATAGTGAAACATCAACAAGGACTTTGCCCATTTTCAGATACCCAGTACTACGTTCCTGACCCCGTCACCTGCTATAGCTGCGCTGCTGACCAGGACTGTGACCAGGATCAGGACGATCTCGTGGCTAACGGCGGCCAGTCTCGCGAGACTCTGTGTGAAAACGGTGCATGCTGGGTAAGTTTGACGGGCACAGATGACAATCAAGCTGATGAATGTCGTTCATAGCCTCTGCATTTTCCTAGACAGGACGCGAAGTTTGGCTATAGCAATTATGTTTCTGTTGTGAACATTCAGATAAGCTGGAGGTCCTCGGATGACGGGAAATACGGCGGCCACATCCGCTCATGTCAACATGAGGACCTCGTCTGCAGCGAGGAGTACATGGCAGAAACCTGCACAGAGAACGGCAACACAAAGGTAAGAATTCACAGCAACAAGCAACGTCCTGTTCACGTGCAGTTACTGATATGTGTTTGCTGGGCCCAAAAACAGTCATGCTGCCGATTTAGCAACATTTTGGCAACATTTGTTTTCTTATTGTTCCCCTCAACCAAAGAACAAGAAAATGGTTCACATACACATATTAATATCTTACCAAATGATTTCACTATTATTGTGTTGTGTTGCACCAGGAATGTCTGCAGTGCTGTAAGACTGACCGGTGTAACGGCGTGGTGCTGCAGGGCAGTGTCATCAGCGGCAGTGAGAGGGCCACACTGCCAAATATGGTCATGTTAGCTGCGTGCCTCGCAGCAATGTTCAGCTCAAGATAATCATTTGCGTCAAATTTTGTTGTGTTTTCATGCCCTCAAGTATTGCTTGCACCGAAAAGAGCCAGTATTTCTCATCGTTTGCTTCAATGTACTGTATAAGTACTTTATAATTAAGTGGATTTGTTGTGATGTCATTATGATTGTACCGCGTACAAAAGGATTATCTTGAACGTGCAAAATGTGTTTTTTTATTAAGCTATTTTAAAGACAAAGCATTCTGTATATATGCTCCAAAGTGCATTACACTGTGTACAACTCCTGTCTGTGATGCAGGCAGCGTAGAGATGGTTCAATACAATGTAAAAAAAGAACTGTGTGGTGACTTCCCTTTGTACCTTACATAATCACCTACAAGTATATTAGGCCAAGTTTAAGTAAGGAATGAGATTTTACACATCCGTGAAGTATTTAGAGTTAAGGGTCTTTATTATTCTGAATTTTTCGCCTATTCCATGCATATTCCACTGTCAATTTCTCCCAGACTGAGGAGAGAACATGTTGACCTCGAATATAACTTTGTCCCGCACTCCGTTTGAAGTTACACCATTCCTCCTCACTTCCTGTGGCTCTACTGGACTCAAATGAATTCGGACACACACACAAACAAATGAACAAACAAACAAACAAACAAACAAACATGCTATCGATCTCAAGAGGAACTGTCAACCAACAGCCTTCCCCGTTACCGCGCGTTCGCAAAAGGGCGCTGGGACACTTGGGAAATGGCTGGAGTGTCTCATATATAGCTGTACGTCCCGCGACACGAATCTATCATTCTGCAACCGCAAAGGAACCTGAAATACACCGTGACACAGTACGCTAATGGACTTTCTAAGGTTTCAAGCTGGAGTTCTTAGTCTTTCATAGTCCATTACTCTGTAAATGTTGTTGGTATGTTGAGTTAATAGACCGTTTTAGTCCACACGGTCCTGTTGTCATAATATTTGTCTACATGGATATGTAGAATTCAAGGCTGGGAATGAGCTGTAGTGAAAATATTGTCGGTATTTCGGTATTTGAACGCCTATGTCGATCGCCCTTTGTAAAGATGACACATGGATGATGTGACATGTGGAGGAAGTGGTGGGTTTCAGAAACGCCAGCACTTCTCGTTTGCCTCAGTGTTGATGGCGAAGCAATGTTGGTCTTTTCAGAAAATTATGGTCAGTGCCTTAGGACAACTAGTCCCATTGTAGCTTCAGCTCGGCAATTGTGTTTGGCCCGAATTCTTCTTTACGACCAATTTCAGCTAAAGTATATAAGAAACATTCCTAAGTGATGAGGAGGGACCTATATCTATATCGACACGACGGTTTTATTTACTAGTAAGTAACCACAAAATCATACTGTCACTGTTTTCTTCAGTTAGAATATTTATTTCATAATATGACTGTATTCCAAGACTTCAGTCTAGTATTCACACAAACGCAAATTAGAAAATGAACATCAAGCCTTTACATTAGTGCTTGGTTGCAGCAAGAACATTGTTGGATGCCTCATTTCTTAATGACAATTATAACACCAGATGTCACCCGTTTGTTGCCTTGGTTCTTTAAACAAGTCAAACAATCTTCTCCTTTGTCTCCCAGACTATCACCATTTAGATTGTTCACACAATTATCAACGTCAACAGTTCTCCCAGTACGTTGACAAGACAGTCAACATTGCTCATTAATCCACTTGTCGAAAGGCTATCGGATTAGAATAGAAGCACACGAGATTTCTCTGCAATTATGCATACAAGAGGACAAGATTGAACGTATAAAGCATACCAAACTTGATATCATACATATTTGTCCTCTTTATACTGTGCAGTGATGTTCACAAACTGCTCAGTTGTGACAGGTCAGGGTCAGAATTTTTCAGGTGACTACCTGACTTGAATGATGTTGGTCCTGCTGGTGGACGTATTTTTCTTGGTACGTTTCATGATGAACTTGGCGGGTCTCAGCAGGAGATAGTAGGCGAACTCCGTGATGCTGACGACACTGGCGCCGATACACAGGCCCAGACACCCGCCCAGGATACCTGCACAGTTACAACATAAACAGTCAAAATCTATGCCTCATGCTTCTCCGTTACCACGAAAATGGCACTCATGTAATACACATGCAGTAAAGCAGTGTGTAGCTTTACAGCACATGTACAAAGAACCAAGAAAAGCATTGCAGCACTTTGATTGATACCTGTTTATTCTCTACATGTCTACGTTTATTTCTCCGGTCGTTACGTCGAAACAACGCGTTTTCTTCAACATCAACACAAGTCAATGTTATGAACAACACACACCAAACCGACCAAACCAACTATCGTCGTTCGACTCTACTTTGTAGTTGACCTGATGTGCGAAACGTTGCATTTGCAAAACCACGCTTTTAACGATGATGCTTACTCAGTAAACCTTCCACCGACGTCTTCCTCTTCTGTTCAATCTTCTGAAAGTTCAGCTGTTTGTAGTACACGTCAAATACCACCCAGTTCTCTCTGGAAAATGAAAAAAAAAGATATGATGACTTGATGTTGAATTCCTTGAACGTTTACAGTAGTGGAGTCAATTCTATACATAAAATCGCTTTTCAGGTGATGTTTAAAGCACTTGTCTGTCAGGGGAATTCGACTTTATCAATTTCTTCAACAATTTTCTAACAGAAAGAAACGCCCTCAAAGCGTATTGGAATGATGTCGAAGGATCAATTCCATGACTTCACTTTTTCAGCATGTTAGTACACATATTGGAAAACTCACTTCAGATAGTCCAGTGAGCGGTCGGGATAGTCTCTGATGAGGCTCTCGCTGGCCTTCGGGTTGGGCCAGCCTGCGTAGGACACCGTGGTGTCGTACTCCACTATCTCACAGGGAGTAGGGCAGTAGCACGGCAGGTCGCCCGTCTGGATTCTCTCTGGGTAGTGAACGGACCAAACATGCTCATTTCCTGACCATTTGCACTTCTTGAGTGTTTTTTAAACAGTCTAGGTGGTAGAGACTGCAGCTAGAAAGCTAACATAGTACAGCTGCAAGGTCAATCTCCCCATAGCACAACTCAAAGAGAATGAAATAAAGGACATGCTGCCATTTCTATTATGCCTTTAAACTGATGAGAATATTGCTGTTGTACTATTTTGGTGTCTTAGAATGTTACAGCAGGCGATGACAGAACTAACTATTTACTCACGGTAGACAGAGTTGACACAGTCAGCAATTTGCCGAGGTGAACAGATCTGCGGATCACTTTCAAGCTGGACGCTTCCTAAAGAAAAGGAAGGAAAAGCTCACTTTGAGTATTTTTGTACCACAATGAAGTAAACGTTGATGCGTTAGAAATATTCCATGATTGAAAGATCGTTTCACGTATTTTTGTGACCGACGTTCCTAAAGATCTTGCTCGCTCCATCAAAAGAAAAAAAAGTCTAGAATTATTTTGTTACCTCTTTACATGCCACTGTTCGTATTAAAACATTGGTAACCGTGATAACCGTGGTAACCCCGTTACCGGGCCAGGTTTTGGGCCATACCTATGAGCTCCAGTGCAGTGCAGCTACACTCATCCTGTACATGGTGCGCCTTACACTCCAGCATGCAGGCTGAGAACGTGTACCTCTCGTAGTGGTCCAGCTGCACGGTCTCACAGATGCCCCATGGAGGGATCTCGTTCACGTACTAGGGATGGATACAAAACGTCATGAAGAAAAAAGTCATGGAAATTAATGCCGATCTCCATAGCCGAGTTACCCTTTTCACAAACAAGGAATAGAGTATCTCATACCTCGGCGAAAATATCTATTTTTCGTGAATTTCTTGTTTTATACATTATTGCAAGCACATTCTGTATAATGTCCTTGATTAATGTTCATTTCTTGCTGATGTTGATTCCCACTAGCTCCCATACGGGACCTTTTCTGGGACCTTTGCCCTAACTTCCTGTCAGTGTCTCTTACATGCCTGTGCAGATAACTACAGAAAAACACATAAACACGCCAAAAACAAAACATCCGCACACGTAGTTAAAAATTATATAGCAAATGCTTAAGTTACTTTAAGAGATAAAAATTAAGCCCGAAGCCTTACCGTGACCTGTGAGATGCCGACGTACGCGTGGTTCCCCGGACCCACCGCTATCCCCTGTGTCTGCAGCTCGGGAGGTTCGTATTTTGGGTGGACGTGAAGCTTCAGTCCAACATCGCTGTTCCCCCCGGCCTCCAGGTCCTCTGAGTACAAGTCCTGTGCGATGGAACGTGAGCACAACAAATCTAAATTCACATCATATTCACATGGGTGCACTATCGTTGATCTATGGGAGTACTAGTACAACCTTTTACTCGCGGCTGTACTACTTTTCATCTATGGGTGTGCTACCTTTCATTTATGGGTGTACTACCCCTGGCCTCATCTACGGGTGTACTACCCCTCATCTACGGGTGTACTACCCTTAATTCATGGGTGTACTACCCCTAATCTATGTATGTACTACCTTTTTGACGTCCACGACGAGATGCAGCCCGTTGCCAGCGCCCGGGATAGTTTGGACGAGGTTCTGCCCTGACGCAGCGTTAAAGATGTAGCAGACCCCGAATGTCGTGTACACTTGGGTGAAGTTCTAAAAGGCAAAACATGACAAATCATTATGCATGATGGGCCCCGCCCCCAGGGAGTAGGCCTCAGTAGGGTAAACGACAAAATAACAACAATGGTATATCATAAGAAACAAACAATGGTTGTGACCTCTGCGTAACATCTCACGCCTTTCCAAGTACAGTCCATGAGCGAGTCTGCGTCCAGACGGAACCCACTGAAGTCGGTGATGCTCCTCAGGTTCACACTAGAGATGGGACCGGAGGGAGATGAGTTAGCAGGGTCATACACAGATGTGCCCTAAGATATATGTGGCTGCCGTGTCTTCCGCGAGATATGAAAGTACATGTTTTCAGTCAATCTAACAGAGTCGTACCTCATCACATTTTTTTCTCAGACTGACTGACTGGACAGTTAATCTGAAATACAGAATGTATGCCTATGATCACAGATGTCACGTCATGTCACGTCGTTAAAAACATTTGTTAAGCGTTGGTGTTGGAATGCTATCCCGTACCTTGGCAGGACATAAATTCATACACATACGCCAAATTTTCTAGACTGCAATGATTACCTGTACGGGACGTCTGTCTGTGCCTGGGGTATGTCCCCTCCAGTGTCCGGTAGGAAGGCGTTCCCGATGATCGGACTCATGTAGTCGATGGCGTCGAAGTTTTGGCTAACCTCACTTTTTCTCTCGTACCTGGGCCGATGGATGTCAGTCAAGACATGTTTTGGATGACCCCAGTAACGTATTCATCAAGTACCACAAAGTAAAAGCACTAGAACATCGCATAACAAAATTTGTCATCACGTTTCGCATACAATATTATACCATGAATCCCATGACATTACGAGAACTTTATTGACACAACAAAAGTGCAGCGACTTTCGTAAGGTCTAAGACATGTAGATATACAGACAAATAAACATGGGTACAACGAAAATATCCTACGTACAGAACAATATATGGGTCAACTAATACTACTTGTCCTATTCTACATTCTTTGATAAATTTACCTATTTGTACACAGTAAGGGTTATTACCTTCTAGGATGAACTTAAATTTATCTATAGCATGAAATGTAACAAATTCTGTTGAGCAGGCGGAGAGAAGGTTGAACAGCTTTGTGCGTTTATCGTGACAATTGCAAAACAGCTACACCACACCAAACCACACCACAGCATACCACAGAACTAGTACTAGTACAAAACACATGCTACAATTATGCGATTATCATTTCTGACCCACTTGTTGAAGTTACACAAGGTGACGGCTGGAAACTCCAGGCTTTCAGAAAACTCCAGCTTGACGTCCGTGATGGTGTCCCAGTTGAAGTAGGAGATGAACCTTAGTGTGATATCAACTAACATTAATCATATATTACTACTCCGTAGCTTATCAATAACAAAGTGATAAGACATAGTTTCCATCATATTTTACATGATATCCATTGGTTGTGATGTTTTCACCTCGAACATTATATCAATGTTAAAACATGTATTAAAGAAATACTTACGTTTGCGTGATGAGGTAAACGGCGTAGCCGAAAGCGACGAGGAAAAACACAGTCCATACGAGCCTTGCCGGGATGTTTGGTGCGTCCGCAATCTGTCAAAGGTACAGGGACACATCAAAACGTTGTTCGCCTTCTTCCAGTCATGCTTATACCTTTAGAATAATCGGTTTGAAGTAATGTTGTTAAATGTGGAACTCTATCCCTGACAAGTGGTACTCTCCCGAATACAGCCGATAATCAAGCCGTCAAAACCAACGTTCTCCTAGCCTATACCTCCCACCAAGTGAGTTTAGTGCCCAGAAGTGGTCTTTTGGCCTTGTAATGAGCAAACTCGTTAAGAAAACAGTGGGTATTTTTTTAGATTTCAGAAAAGCTGATCTTGAATTAATTTACAAGTGACTACTTTAACGTGACGGTTACCTTTCCCAGGCCGTGCATCGTTGTGCTTGAGGCAAACTCGTACTCCGGCGACTTCTGCTCTTCCTCCTCTTTCTTGTCATCCTGAACACTGGCCGACGGCTAAGTGGACAGAAAATGCTCCACAGAACAGTACATCATCAAGGCGTATACAAACCCACCATTATCCATAAATTTGTAGCAACGTGTCTACCAAGCGAAACTGTAAGTGTAAATTGATGAACTACTTGAAACCATACCAGTGCTACAAGTAGATATAAGCTCAATCCTAGTTTCCCGGGAGTCAAAACGTAGCTAGCAGGTGAACATAAGCTAGTGTAGTTTAGGCTTTAAGCCAAGTGTCTGTATCTACTCTATGTCTTGTTATCGTAAAAAGACTAACCCCTGTAGAACCAAAGCAGCAATGGTAGTCATACAAGAAACAGACACCACACGAACCTTCCTCCTTGAAGGGTACGCCTTGAAGCCGGTGGCGGTCTCATAATCCGGCAAATCTTCAATATCGTCAACTTGGGTCGAGCACCCGGGCTTGTCCATCTAGGGACAAAGAAAGGGTTTTATGGACGATCAAATAAACGAGTAAAAAACGCAAATGACATACATATTAGCAGCAAGATCGAACAGAATTGTGTTTGTTTAGATTGAGGCTTGTTTGAAATTCGTCGATTAAGATTAGTATTAAATGTTTCGGTCTGTGTGGGGATGCCTTACTTCGATTCTTTCTGCCCACTTCTGTCTCTCAACACGACAAATGATTCCCGCCTAAATGGTGTGACGTCGTTACTTGCCGACTTTGTGATCCCCTACTAATTTAGTGCTTAAAACATGACGTATATAAATAGCTCCGCCCAAAACGGCGTAATAGCATACGATTTACAAGACATGCTGTCTAGTAGACTAGACGAAGAAACATGACAATGAAGGGACAAGGAGAAGGTTTGTGGATTATCCATGCAATTTTGCAAAGGTTACTCGTACAACCTCTCATGACCACTCGTTGAACACCTTTAGGACCGTCCGCCAAACCTGACACTACTCAGGACCGATACTGCTGTCACAACAGTGTGAGCGGTTCAACAACAATAGCACGCGGCTTGTCTGAGTGGGGCCGTGTCGGGAGATGGCCGTGAATAGAGCATCACAGAAGGGGACACACAGGAGCAGCCATCCACCGCTAAATGCAGCAGAAACCTAACCCCGGGAGTCGCTCTTCCATCCTGATGGCCAAGAATACCTGCCACGGTGTGAAGCTGTCTTAAAACCGTACTGTATTTGGACAAACACCCTGTTGTTTTGTTTGATCTGACGTAACGCTATGTCAGCGAGGCCAAGAAAGCAATTTTGTACAATTTTGAATGATCTAAACCATCTTAACTGATATAAGCTAATACATTGGTTTATGAAAGAAAAGAAAACATGCCTTAACCACCAAATCTGATCCGTTTCACAAAAGCGCAGAAGAATTATGTGAACACATCTAAGTTATGTGAAATTTGCCTGGTAACAACCGTTCAACATTCATAACGGCACACCTGCAGACTAGAAATTTTAGATTTACAACGCACTCCATCACAATGACATTAACTCAGATTAGAATGCCATTTGGAAGTGTATAGGAGTATACGTGCCAAGGTGTTCTATTTAAAGGTGGCAACTATAAAAGCACCTGCACATAAGCTAATCTTTTAGAAAAATATTCTCCTTTTATTCAACGATTAACAGTTTTTGTTGCTTAAATTGTAAATGTCGATTAAATTACACAGAAAGAAATGATGTAATCTCATAAAATCCTTAAACTTTGTTCACAAATGCATTTTAAATACGGGCACACAGCACTTTACCACTAGACTCGACAAAGAAAACGACCAAAAAAAAGGCACATACCTTGCTACTGGTGAAGGCTTCCTCTCGTACACTCTCTCAGTAGTTTGCTGTATCCGTACCGACTTTATGCCCGGTATGACCTAGAATGTCTCGCGCGGTGGAGGGTAACATTACCCGGTGCCCACGTCAGTGGTGGAGCGGCGACCGTCCGGTACCGGGGTCCGCCAGGTGTCGACACGCTCCAGATTGTCGCTGTTCCGCTCGGTGCTACTGAAGGACACACGCGTCGGCTTTCTGGCCGACTCGGTGTGTGACAGGCAGATATTTCCCTCCGCCATGGAGATGCTAGTGTTCATGGGAGGGATTCATCAATACAGCATTTGAACGAGATCAAAAGGATGCGAAAGGATTCACACGAGGACCGCGGTCATATATACCATATGAAGCATATTTTCAAATTCTGCATTGTGATGTTTCATCTCAATGATATTTTTTTGTCTTTTCTTCTTGAGTCTGTATCAACAAAATGATACCTGGCATGCATTTTTCGTATCACTATACAATTCGGTTATTTTCAGTGTTGCGGTAAAAAACTTGTTGTTGTTAGTTCGTCCTTGAAACAATATTAGGTTTGTAAGTTGGCGAATAAAAAAATACAATTCGTTAAAAAAGAACAGTCACTTTTAAAAATATAAATGAACAACCCGGGGCTTGTTGAAGTAATATTATACTACCAGCAAAGGAAGAATGGCGTGCTTCTGACTAAAGGAATGTTATGTTGAACAATATTAGCGTGCAACTGAAAAGACTATTACAGAGCATGCCACTGTTGGAACAATGAACACACCTGTACAACTTCAACATTTCAACCTGTCATTTGATCATCGTTGGGAAGGCTGATATGTTCTTCAACTTCAGCCATATACTCAGGTCAACCGTTTCTTGAGTTATGGCCTGCTCGAAGATTTCTAAACAAGCGCCCCAGCAGTTCCAGAACAGGCTGTTAGGGGGCACACACAAACACACACACACACACACACACACAACACACACACACACACACACACACACACACACACACACACACACACACACACACACACACACACACACGAACGCCATAACGGAAGCATAACCTTCTTGGCGAAAGTAATTATAATAACGATTTCTTAACAATAACGGGTGCCAGACTGGGAATTAAATAGCCTACACACAGATAGCAAAGTACCTAGATAGAAACCTATGTAGGAAAGTGTCTTCGCCGTTGTTCATTTTAATCTCATTGAAACAGAAGTGATTCTATATACTGGTATGTTGGTATGTTGTATGTATACCCAAATAAACAATGATGTCTTAGCAAACAAGAAATGACAGACCGGGGGGTTAACCTATACACTGTAGCCTTTCCGAAGAATGCACATATTGAAAAAGTGATATTTGATAGGCCAGGATTACACGTCTTTGTCTAGTCAACACATTTTCCAACTGTCCTTCCAGACAATCCTTGTTTTACATATATATATCTTCAACAGTACCAATCTGTAGATGGTAATATAAGACCAAGCATACTTTGATCTATCTTTGACTTTGATGTCAGTGTAAAAAGACATCTTTCATCGAAGCACAATAAGTAATTGTAATGGTAGAGTATATTCAAATACAATAACACTTCAAATAACATGTTATGCTTTTTATAATTACTTCACTCTCACACCAAATGGGTTTTGCTTGCTGACTTTCAGTCTATCCTGGTTGAGGCTGTTCTTTTCTTTACTTCTTTTTCCAGAGACGCTTGAAGGGTCTGGTGATGAGATATTCCACTATCTCCGCCACAGTGATGATACTGGCGCCGATGAACAGGCCCAGAGAGCCGCCGATCGCACCTGAAGAACGGAACCAAACAGATAAACAATCATGGCGTTGAGTATTGCTATACATCAAAGAAAACATATCGGAAACCTATACCAATGTATGCTTGATACATATTGATATATACCAATAAAATGTATGATTGCCAGTGCACTGACAAGCCGGAAAGGACGTTACTTACTGAGCAGGTCTTCCTCCGTCATCGCCCTCTTCTGGATGATCGACTTGCTGTTCAGCGACTTATAGAAGACGTCGAACGCACAGTAGTTTCTCCTGTACGACAAAACCGCGAAACACATATTAAAAGTAAGGCCATATGGGAGCAAATCCTTTGTCAATATGTTTACGGTAAGTGATTCTAGCTGCAGCAAACCTTATGGAAGTTTTGCAGAAATAGGGAGACAATCGTTCATCATGGTTATGTCATCCAACGATTTGTAGAAGTCTAGGGAAGTTGATATCACACCCAAGGGTAAGTATCAACATCAGAAAGTTCTGTAATGTATAGCATACTCCAAAAATTCGTCCTGTCCCAGCTTGTCTATTAAGGAAGGGCTCATGGCAGCTCCAGGGTTGGGCCAGCCAGCGTAGGACACAGACTTGCCGTACGTACCCAGCTCACACGGGGTCGGGCACTGGCACGGCAGGCGGCCCCGAGTGATCAGGTCTGCAAAAAAACGTACGTTAGAGATGTCATTGATACACGGGAGACACTAAATATTGGTGATCAACGTTACAACATACAATCAACGCTATTCTAAGCACCCGTCTTCCTTTTGATTTTATTGTTCATAAAAATTTTTCGCCAATAAAACGAGGAAGGCCACGAGGAAGGCCACGATGAAGGCTACCATTCCTGCGGAAGTCACACAAAATCGACACTTACTGTAGACTGACGTCACACAATTCACGACTGTAAGAGGCTCACAGATCTCCATGTTCCCTGGGAAAAACGGAATTAGTGATTCGATAAGGAAACTAAAATCACATAGTTACCATTCTAACGTTACTCTTTATTGACGTGTTCTATAAGTATTGAGTGCTAGATATTTCAATCTTTTTTCAATATGTAAAAGCTCACTGAGGTAAGACTAATTAAGTCCGCAGGGTAAGAAAATACTTGAATTGTTTGTAATTAAATTTTGCAGAAACAGTACAAGCCGACCCGGGTTGGACGAACATCCGGGTCCCGGCAGAGCATGCTGGGATGTCAGGATCTGGATGTCATATCGAGGCTGAAGCTACCCCGGGTCAGAGATTACAGTCTCGTTCCCAGCGTCTATTTTCCTTGACAAAAAACTCCAACTAACCTGGCAGTTCCATGGCGGTACAGTTACACATGGTCTCCACCCAGTGCGCCCTACACTCCAGCAGACAGCCCGTCAGGGTGTAGGTGTCAAAATGCTGCAGTTCCTTCTCTTCACACTTTCCCCACGGAGGAATCTCATTTTTATACTGACGACAGAAAACAATTCATCTATGAACACGTCAGGCTTATACACTGCTAATTTATAGCAAACACAAACGCTCGCACACGGACACACACACACACACACACACACACACACACACACACACACACGCACGCACGCACGCACGCACGCGCACGCACGCACGCACGCACGCACACGCACGCACGCACGCACGCACACACACACACACGCACGCACACACACACACACACACACACACACACACACACACACATACATGTACACACACACACGCACGCACGCACGCACACACACACACACACGAACACATTAACATGCATACACACACAGAAAGACAAACACACACGGACAGACAAACACAGAGGGAGAGAGAAAGAGAGGGGGCAGACACATACAGAGGTAAACAGACACACAGGCAAACACATTTTTAGCGCGTCGTGTCACCTTAATTTTCGATATCCCCACATAGGCATGTGTTCCCGGCCCGATGGCGATGCCCTGTGTGTCCATCTTGGCGGGCTCCCCTCGGGGATGAACATGAACTTTTAACCCCACGTCGGACGACCCGCCTTGAGTTGGATCTTCTGAGTATTGGTCCTAAGAATATTATACAAGAAATGATAACGAGTAGTTTGGTGGTTGCCACTACTTGTGAGTTTTCCTTTTGTTACAACAAATCATAGGGCTAATGTTTTTTTTTGTTCTTTTGAATGAAACTTACAGCTTGCACATTTATGACGAGGTGAAGCCCGTTGCCTGACCCGGAGATGGTCTGTTTGACGGATTCCGTCCCGATGTCGCCATTGAAGACGTAACAGTTGCCGAACTGGGACAGTGTGCGGGTGAAGTTCTGGGGTAAACAAACAACACATTTGAGAAAGAGAAGTTCTATGAACCCTTATTTACGGATTTTGCTAACCCTAATTTCAGGGGTTTGCTAACCCAAATGTAGCCCTGATTAAGGGTTTTTGTTAACCATAATTTAAGGTTTCTGCTAACCCTAATAGGTTTTTGTAAAAGACTATTCTGTAAATGGGAATGGGTGATGACTTTAAACCGTGATCGCCTGTATACACTGCAGTACGTTCACGTTCCTTAATGTTATTGCTACCTTAATGCCGCAAGGTTCCCCTCTCCAGGAACAATCGACCAACCCATCCTGCAGTTGGAACCCGGCGTACTCAGTGATGCCGGCCAAGTCGTAGTAGAAAGGAGTTGGGGTCGGTGTAGGTGTGGGGCCGTCATTGTAGAAGACCCCCGTTCCAACTAGGCCAAACCGTTTGGGGAAGGCATACAGCGGCTCCAAGTAGACATTGATTCTAGGATTGCCGGCTACCTTTCTGAAGGCATACCTGTTATTAAAGACATTAATCCTATGAGTCACAGCGATGGTAATTGCTGATCTTTCCAGGGGGATAGTGGTCTGTCTATTAAAGTCCAAGTTTACTGAGCTGTGTTGCAGGACGAGAACAAGATTTTTATATCGGACATGTTATTTTCTTTCGATCACCATTCCGTTGTACACAGACATTCTATCATGCACTCTGTAGTCTTAATTGTTTTGACTTTTCGTTGAATATCACTCAAACCACGGCCGAGCTAGTTTGACTGTGGAACAACATTAAACCAATACGTTGGCAAACTTACTTGTTGAAGTTACAGAAGGTGACAGCTGGGAAGTCCATAGATTTCTCAAACTTGAGAGACACGTCTGTGACAGTGTCATAAGAGAAATACGCCAGGAAACTGGAATCGAAAGAAACAAGGGTAGCGTTGTACATTTGTATTTATAACATGCACGTGGAGTAGAGCCAACTAACGTTGCTTGGCATATCTGATTGATGTACACATCAGGTCAAGTGTGTGTAGAGCAGATGCATACTGACCTTATAACAACTATGTCAATATTGACGCTGGTCTGTAAACGTGCGTTTTACGCAAGGTCGATTTGGGTCACCTTTTTACCGTTTCCGAACGATAACTGTAAACACCCTCGCTCTTGCTACACAATTGACATCGTCTAGTTCAACACAGACAAATATCTAAGCAATTTCACAAGATGACTTACGTTTCTGTTATCAGGTAAGAGGCATATCCAAGGCACCCGAGGAAAATGCAGGTCCATATCAGACGGGCTCCCCAGTTTGGGGCGTCTGCGATCTGGTGAGAGGTAAACTGGGTTATTTGACTTATTATGGGTTCACCACACCACGAAGTGGTGGTGAACCCATATTGCTTTTTCTGATGTTTCTTCTTCTCCTCCTGCCATTTCTTTAAATGGATTCAGCTTCTTCATTTTAGGGCCTAAGGTCCTGAAATTTGGTATGGAGGTACAGTGGGCAAATACCCCTAGGCGTTTTTTAAATTTTGTG